GCTGGAGGGGGGTGGGGGAGGAGGGAGGGGGGAGCGGGTGGCTTCGTGCGGGTGGACGGCTGACAGATGCCGAGCGACTAACAAGGTCGCTTGCCGCAAGTGGCAGCGCGTCTGAGCTGCGGCGGACGCGGAAATGCACAAATGCTGGGCTCCTCGGAAGACAGCGTAGTTAACTCAACAATGCAAGGAATTTTTCATGCGTTTCACATTTGCGTTCTCTGGATTTCTACCGTTTAATACGTTGAAAGGTTAATTAAGGGTGAAAGTAGAGTTTCGAATGGTATAATATTAACTTTTATGTCTATGACTTTACGATTGAGTAATGATGGCAGCTTTAAACCCTTTGCATCTCCAGAAAAATGAAGTGTTCTGATTTACAATTTTTAGGCAGAAAAACTTCACATAGAACTATAACTATGTTCTACAGTACCTTGATGTCATTAAATATTAAATAAAAAATAAAGGTTCTTAGTAGCAAAAATGAATTGTTAATGCTGTAAACAATAAAAGCTTCTAGAAAATTAGATTACCATACTTTACCATCCTGATTAAGGTTTTCTGGGTTTACTCAATCGCTTAAGGCGTATGCCGGGATGGTCCCTAGACTTGCACTCACAGACGTAAATGTACAGCTTGTCCTCCCCTCTTACAATGTTACTACTCTCTATGTATGTAAATTCAGTGGTTAGACGGAAGAGCAGGCCCTAAGCCCTAAACCTCGGCATTAATAAAGGCATTATTATTATTATTATTATTATTATTATTATTATTATTATTATTATTATTATTGTTGTTGTTGTTATTGTTATTATTATTATTGCTTCTTTTCTTTTCTTAATCGGATCCGTAGACATAATTAGTGGCACGTGTCTTTACGCAGATTGAATCTGCACCTCGCTGCACGGGCGATTCGGCTCCGCTTTTTGCGTACGTGGGGTCCCTGCCTCCCGCTGGGTCGCGACGCCAGAAATATTGCGCCTCCCTCCGGAGACGCAGCGGGACGGGGGCGGCGGGGGTGCACGCCGCTCTAATGATGCCCCCTGCGGGCCCCGGAATCCCATTTCCTATATTGCGCGCTTCTAATACTGCCGAAAAACGCTACCTTGTCGCCTCCCGGAAAGTCTCTAGAGATTACGCGCGCGCGTTGACAAGGAGGGAGGAGATATTTCGCTCCTTTGATTTAGGAGGAAACTTTCTTGATAAATAAACACATAATTTCTCACTCAAATTGTTTTGTACTATTAAAGTTTATTTGAGCGTATAAAACATTTTGAAAATCCGCTTGAATACTTGTTGGTTGAAGAAACAGTAAAAAATGTGAGTAATTTAGAAGGCATTTTTATTAAATATTTCAGTTCTGTCAAATTATTTGAATTTTATAAATTGTTGCGCTTCTAGATTACTTTTATTTGTTTCACTGATGAAAAAGCATTTCGTACATTTTTAACGAGTACTCAAACGAGTAATCACGTTCATAATAATATCACTCGTTAGATGTTGTTTGTGATAAATGAGCTGAACGACCGTGAGAAATGCAAACGAAAAATTTCACCATTTTCTCCCTTTAGAATTCAAGAGGTGTCTCTCGAAAGTCCGGTACTTACCTTCGACCTTTTCGTGTCGATCGTGCACAAACGTAAATTCCTTTTCGTTTCCTTCCCGAACATTTCCGGTTTAATCTGATTACCAATCCTTGTCCCCCGTGATTTTGAAAAATTTGCAATTACCGCGCTTTCACGTTGCGCTCGAGCGACAAATGAAAAGAGCTTCGCGCGGCGTTGGGCTCGCCGAAACGCTCGACTGCTTCTGCTGCTTTGACAAAAGCCGCGCGATTTGTTACACAACCTGAGTAAACTTCGGCAAAATCGCCTTTGCGAGGAACGCGGGTCGCGCGCCTACGGCGTGCCGAGCAGGAAGGAGAGCGCCCGTTCGGGAGAAAGAGAGCGATCGCGCGTGTTAGTTCAAGGGATCGAGCTGCGCTTTGTACTCCGCCGCAGGGGTCCTTTGTGGTCGGGGGCCGTGAATTCGTAAAAAGAAAAAAAGCATAATGCCGCGTCCCCGTGCTTTCTGAGGGGTGGGGGAGGGGGGAGGGGAGGGGAGCAGGGCGTGCTGGTGTCGGCGTGGCGGTGTGCGTGAGTGAATTGTAATAATCGCGATTATTATGCCGTCAAAGCGGTGTGTGCGGAGGCGGCGAGGGGAGGTGGCGGAGGTGGGAGAGGGGCGGTGCGGTCGCGCCCACGTGCCCGCCGCCGCCGCCGCCGCCTCCTGTCGCCAGATGCTGTCGCGGTCGCCCGCGCCTCGACGTATCGGCCCTTCGCGTGGCTGTGGCAGTTCGCAAAATGTCACTGCGCCGGTTGACAGGGCACACGTGTGAGGCGGGGAGGCGGAAAGAGTTGCTGTAAATTCCGGATTTAGATGATTGTGTAGGAGTGTTCTATAAGTGTGAGTTCTTCATTGTGCTTCAGAGTTTCATTGCGCGTATTTGTCAAGTGATTTAAAAGATGCTGTAATCGCATGTGGAATTTATAATATATAAATTTATTTTGACAAGTGCTTTTGTGTTTCACCATTGAGGAAACTTGATATCCTGATAATGATTTCCTGATAATGAATGAAACAATTTTCGAGAAATATATTTGTGGTTATATGTTGTTCTTTAAAGCAGGATATTTCCATCTTGTATGTCGTGATTGTTGTTCTAGAAAATGTGGTAAATATAGTTTTGTGCATGTGATTAAAAATCCGCGCTTTCCCAGAAAAGTGTGGGAGCGTTGTGGGCATTGGACGGCGTCCAAAGGCCACACATGGGTTGTTGAGGGAAGTCGGTGTCGTCCTGGAAACGCCGCTTTCGAATCCCGGTGTGGGAGCACGCGGCGGTCGCGTGCGTCCCAGGGCCCCAGGCACGTGGGAAGCTCCCCCACCCCCCATCAGCGGCGTGTGTGCGTCGCGCCAGCGCCAGAGGCCGGACAGGCGAGTGACGGCGCGCGCGCGTGTGTGTGTGTTCGCAGGGGCGGATGCCACGGGCGCTGCCGCCAGACGCTGCGTCTCGACCCGGAGCCGGAGCCCGCCGTCGCCGCGCCGTCGCGGCTGCCGTCGCCGTCTGCTGCCGCCAGCGCCGCGGCGCCCCCTCTCCTGCCCGAGGCTCGTGACGCGCGCGGATGCGGACCATGTCCGCGAGCCGTCGCCCCGGGGCGCGCACCCGCGGACGTCGGAGCGCGCGGCGGTCCCGCGCCCGTCCGCCGCGGACGCAACCCTTTCCCGCCGGCGAGAGGGAGGAGGAGGGAGGAGGAGTGAGGAGAGGCAGGACAGGAGAATAGAAAGGAGGAGGAGGAAGGAGGAAAGCACGGCTGGTTCGCAGGCGGGCCGCGACCAGGTGCCCGCACATGGCACCGACCGGCCTCACCCACGGTACGATCACTGGTACCGAGTGCCGGCGAGGTGGGGAAGTGGCGTGCGGCCGCGCGCGGAGGTCTCCCGCGCCCCCCCGCAGCGCACCACGCACCAAGGCGCACCGCGCCCGCGAGCAGCCGCCGCCGCGCCGCGCGCGCCGCCTGCCGGCGAGCGACGCGGTACGCCGGGCCGTCCGGCCACCTAAGACCGCGCCGACCGCAGGCCCGGCGCCGGCCATGAGGGCGTCCCTACTACTTCGCCACACTCGTACATCGCCGGACCTGCGCAACGGCGGCGTCGTCTGTACCGGCAGAGCAGCGAATGCAGCCAGCACTTACGGCGGCGGCGGTGGGTCTCTCGGCGCCAGGGCGGGGGCGGCGCGGCGGCCGGCGGGGCGGGCGCCGGCGCGTCACCACGCCGCACAGGTCCATGCACCATCTACGGCGGCGGGCCGGCCGCCGCCGGGCAGCTCGCCGCAAACAGGCCATGCCCTACGGGCCCGGCGCTTGCCCGGCCCTACGACCGCATGACATCCGCGCCGCCGCCTACCTCACCACGGCTGCGCAAAGGGCCCGGCCGCCAGCACCAGCAAGTGATGGGACGGGGCGGTTGACCGCACCAACTCGGCACGCCGCGGCATGGCGCCACATGGGCGGCCACTCAGAGCGCCAGTGTGGTACGCCAGCTGCAAGCTGCAGGCGGCCGGCCTGTGGTGCGGGCGGCGGGCGGCCGTTCGGCCTCGGGTCGCCGCGCTGGACGGCGGCCCGCCCCCGACGCTGTGCGCCGGCAGGTGTCGATTGGCGGAACCAACGGGCCTAACCACCCTGCCGCACCACCAAACGCACCCAGCAAAACCACACGTGGGGGCGGCGCCGCAGGCGGCCGCAGGGCGCAGCATGCAAGCGCAGCAGCAGGGCGGGCGCAGCAGCAGGCGCAGCGCCCAGGCGCAGGCGGCGGGCCGTTCTTCTTGTTGTCAGCAAGCACACCATGGGCGCAACGCGACCACCCGGGCCCCGCGAGCCCGGCCCGCCGCCGCACCCGCACCGCAGAACCACATGAATGTAACTGCGGCCGGCCCGGCCAGTGCGAGCTCGCCGGGCCCCGGCCGTCTCGGCCAGCCTCGGGCCAAGCACGCGGGCCCGCCGGTCAGCCCGGCGCCAAGCGGGCGGGTCCCCGCGGCCCGCCGCGGCCCGCACGGGGCGGGGCACGGGCTCAGGGCGCCGGGCGCCGGCCCGCAGAGGCGCCCGCCCCCAGCAGCGCGCCCACGGCGGCGCGGCGCCGCCTGCCAGCCCGCTCCTAACCCCTGGATGCGCAGCCAGTTCGGTGAGTGCCTTGCCCCTTCCGTTCGTCTTCCGAGAGACAGCCTTACTGTCTCCCGCTCCCCTCCCCCCACCCCCGCCACACACACACAAAGATGTGTTCCGGGAGCCAGTATCTAAAGGCCATCAAACACCCTTCGTAGAAACGCTCAGAGATCATAAGGAAGATATTTCCCGGGACAGTAATCATTCATTATTACAGCGTTAGGCGATAGCATATTCATGGAATTCCGAAGAAAAGAGTTTAACTTGTTTCTTGAAAGAACGCTTATTCGTCAGATTACTTCAAAGTTACCCACATAAAAATGCAACCAGCATTTTGTGAGGTGTATCGTTTATTCAGAATATAAAATGATTTCTGCCACACTGCCAAACCAGATACTTGATTCAACTATTGTTTGTCAAGTCATATTTTTATTTCTTACGAAGAAAAATTTCAAATTGGACAACTTTCTGACTTGTTATTATAATTTAACAGCGTTTCAATCACGTGTATTCATCTTTTGAGATGTTTTGAAACTTCGCTGCTTCACCCCATCTCACTAGTGCCCTTCCTCGGAGCCCGTCAGTCGCGTTGGGCTCTTGCAGCAATCCGTCACCGCAGCTTCGAGACCCTTCCTCCGCGCGCGACGCGAACCCCACGTGTGAACACGTGTCGTCGTCGGCGGCGGTGGCGGCCGCGGCCCAGCGGCCATGTGCTCTGCTCGGCGCTCCCATTGGCTGGCGCCCCGCAGCCTCCCGCCGGAGCACAGTGTCCCGGCCGCCAACGCGCGCCGCGACGGCGTCATTAGGACCCTCCAGTCGCCGCCGCCGCTCGAGAAGGGAGGCGCTGGCTTGGCGGCGCTCGCCGAAATCGCCGTCGCAGTAAATGGCGTCAGGTGCACCCGCGCAGACCATGGCAATTTACTCTAGCGTCAATTAGTCGGCAACGTTATAATATTTGTGTTATAATATAATTGTGATGAAGCTAATATTCTGGCGATAATCACATTAAATCGCTTACCTCGTTTACGCGTACGCGAAGTTATTTGACTCATTATTGTAGAATATTCTTAGAAAGCATGATATATACACAATGGTACTATACTTAGTAGTTTTACGTGAGAACACTTGCTCAAACAGTTTAGTTTTGAATATGCAGAATATACTGGTACAAATGATGAAGTAAAAATGACATAAGATATTACTTCGTACATTCGCATTTTGTGTCTACACCATCACTCGAAGGAAGTAGTACACTGAAAAATAAATTATGGCTTATGATATATATCAACTCGATAATAGAAACTAAAGCAGTTTTCTGAAGAAATCATTTAAACGGTCTCTTGATTCTTTCATGGTTTTCTTCGTTTCTAGTGTTTCCGTATGTATATCCGTTGACTTTTTGTTTTGATACCACTTTAGTGAAAAAATACTTAAGTAGTCACCGAGTAAATTACATAAGTTTTTCTGTCACTCATGGTTAGTACACTTGCGATCTACCAATCAAGAAAAATGATGTGTATTTCGACAGGTCTCAGTGGGGAGCTGATATATTTTGCGGGTGAATGTAGAAAATTGTAAAAAAAATATCTCTAAAATCTAGTTTTTTTGAGAGGGGGTATTGAAGATATTGAAATCCTTTTTGCTTCACCAACTTCACCTACAGAGGTGATCAGTTGCTCGATCATTCGATTCCTCTCGACAAGATAAAGCAATTGACGAATTTCTTAGCCGGATCCCTCTAGTATGTTTTGGAATCATTCTAGAAAGTGATTTTAATGGTTTCAATACAACTACGAGTACAGTGTTGAAAAGTAGGGAATTACTATACTTTGTCTCGGCATTTTAGTAAAATAACACGACTTGTTTCATCAAATTGACAATAATTAAACGTATTTTTGTAATTAAAAAAAATTAAAATTTGTATTTTAAGTGATACCGCAGCTTACGGGAGACACGGGACAAAGACGGCAGCATTAGGTGAAAAGGGCACAAGCTTGCAGACAAATAGTGTCCGCGAGGCACACAAGCGTTCATGATACTTCGTCATTGCTCATTCTGTTCTAGAAAGCGGGCGAGCTGGAAACTATGAGTATACTGTGTTTCAAAATTATTTCTATTATAAATTTTCAAAGCGGAAACAAAACTTTTGAAAATGAAAACACTGTCAGTGAGCTAAGCTAGTTACTGCTTCGTACCAGAGTTCGTTTATCAATTCTCCTCTACTCCAGGAAGCGTTTTGAAATTGTTGAAAATAGGTTTGCGAACCGTCGAACTGAAAGGGCGAACGTGACCTTGAGTCCGTCACCCGCCGGCTGGGCGAGCGGGCGTCGCCCTCCCACAGGTAGCAGGCCGTCGTCACCTGGACCTGGCCGCCCGTCGCGCCGCCTTGGCTGCTGGCGATCGATCTCGTCCTCGCGCGTCGTGGTGCGTTTGGGGCGGCCGGGGCGAACGACCTCTCTCCTCTGAGCGCCGCGTGGCCGTAGCGTTGCGACCATAGAGCGCGGGCCGCGGAGGGGCGGGTGGCCTTAGGGGGCGCGCCAAGGGCTGTATATCTGCCCTCGGCTCTTCTGGGGAAAAACTTGCGCCCGCTGCCCAAGGTCCGCGTGGATGCTCACGGCTTCTCCGCATGGAACACGCCACGTCACTCCACTCCACGCCACGCCACGTCACGCCACTCCACTCCACTCTACGCCACGCCACGCCACGCCACGTCACGCCACGCCACGCCGCGTCATGCCACGCGTCGCCACGCCTCGCCATATCACGCCCACGCAACGCCACGCCACGAGTCCTACGATCCAAATGGAATTTCCCTCCCCAGTTCGGGAGGAGGGATTAAATTTTATAAATTGTATACATTGAGCCAATGTCTTGCGGCATAAGTAGATGGATGGGGGAAAGGAGTTGCCTTAATAACGAACTAAAACTTAATTTCAGCTTAAACAAATCTATCAGTTTACGTACATGCATAATACGAAATGTTTCGTCTTAAAGTAACTTCTTGTGAGAATTTTCCCTGCATTCCAAATTAATCCAAAGCATGCTGACAACTAATTTGATGTTAAGCATCTTCAGAATTCTTTTCAAAAGAGGTTAAAATTGTCGTTTTGCTTTCAAATAGTGAATAATTTATGTTATTTTACCCTAGGAAGATTTCGACTATACTAGAAACCTTAAGTGGCTGATTCTCTCTAATGTGTATTTAATTTAAAATAATAAAATATTGGTAATGTATCTGGGTGAAGAAAAGGAATTTCTTTCGCTGTTCATTTAATGGGGTGTAGTTCATTTAATGAGGCGTTTTAGATCATTTCTAGTTCCGCATTCATTCAATAAAGGTTGATAGTCTGTCTAAAGAAATATTTTCAGTATTTAAGGGATATTAATTGTATTAATTTTATGAGGCCAACTCAATAAATCAATAAAAACAATAAATCAATAAGAAACAATAAATCAATGAAAACAATAGGTCAGGTGAGGGCTTAGTAAATGTTTACATTGTCAGTATATTTCTGAACTTCCGAAAGGTACAGAGAAACCAGAATTCAATTGAGAAACAATCTATTGTGATGTCACTAAGGCAAATTCAATATTCTCAAAGCTCTCGAGATAAATCTCAGCGGCCGGGCTACCGCTTGTAGATAGCAATCGCATTCCGCAACGGTTGAACGCCGATCGTGCGGTACACCTCCCTTCCTTTTGGGAATCATAAATTCGGTCGGGGCGTTTCGCAGCCAAGGCACCGTTTGCTCGTCCCGCGACTGTACCTCCGCCCCAATGACTCAATCGCCGGCGTGCCGCCCCCTGTCGGCGGGCAGAGCGTTTACGACAGCGCCACCGCCCCCGCTCCGCCGCCGCCGCCGCCGCCGCCCCCGCATTGTCACGCGCCGGACCGGCGGGGTCGGTCGCCGCGCCGCGCCGCACCCCCACCATAAAACTGTCTCGCGCCGCTGCCCGCGACTTGTAAACTGGGGCGCCTGAGTGGTTATATTGGTCAACGGCCGGTCTAGAATGCCCTCATAGTCCTGCGTGTGCAAGCCGCAGGAAAAGGGAACGGCGTTGCGTGCTTCGACGCAGGGTGACTTCAACGCCGGAAGTTCCTTTTTCCTTGTTGAGTGGGCCACGAACGACAAAAGATTGCTTTTTTCTTTGATGGAGGAATTCGGAATAATGGCAAATTTGAAGACGCTATTTATTTTGGGTGTAACAAGAATGATTTTATTTTCCTCGTGTTTCAACAGTATCATTTCATTTAAAACATATTATATATATATTGGAAAAGAAGAACGTTTTTGTTGGTATATACTATCGACATCAAATTTAACTAATTGTTAATTTTCCGTGTCACCCTTCAACATTTAGCAACAAATATGAAATTTAATTTTTATTTCACAAGGAATTTTATATTTTGCAATATTTGACGTGAAAAAGAAAGCATATAATCAAAATCAATGAACGTTGTACTGCTCCACTTAATCGGTTCATACATCCCCTGTAGCTCCGTACACTTGTTAACGCAATTCCTTCTCCAGTAGAGCATAGTTTTCCAGATACATCAAACGGCGATCGGGTATCCCACACGGTAGAAAATTAGTGACGGTTCTTATCGTGCTATCAGAGGCACCTGTGGGCGCTCACCGTAATTTCCCCCCGAGCCAGATGCGGCCAAAGGACTCGTTCAGAGCCGCTTCGCCGCAGGAAGCGATTCGTTCCGCTCCTGCGTCGCGGCCTAAACGCCGTATTTTGTACTTAATGACTCAAATTAGCATCTTGAATTACTTGATCGCCGCTCTGACAGCGTAACGGTAGTGATAAAAGCGCGGATACTTTATAGGTCTGACAATGTCAAATGTTCGTATTTCGTACTTTACTGTTGTTAATTTAGAATGAAAGTCAGAAAAATAATAATTTGATGTATTGCGATGCATTACTGACCAAATTTCTTTTAATTGTTGCTTATTCCGTTAAATTAAATTTATTTATCTTATAAAACACGAATGTGTAGTCATCTTGAGGGCATCAGACTATCAATCACATGCATCTTATATGATTGCTATCACTTATTTTGATGCATTCTCTTAATTTCTTGATCGATGAAAGTCTATGTATGTGTGTCCTCGACAATCTTTCGATTGTTTTCTTTTACATAAAAATTAATAACTTAACCTGCGGTTCAGACATTTTTAGTGAATTGACATAATACGAAAAATACTTACATGAATATTTTTGCAGTGCTTTGCGATGTTTGTGAAAAAGTATCTCAATTGCACTTAACTTAAAATCGAGCTCTTAATATTTTACCACTTATATTGCGATAGTGTACAATTTAAACGCTGAAAGCATTTAGCAATTTGCAAGCGTCCTTGCCGTAGATTGCCTTCACTTTGCTACCCACAGAACCTCGTCTTGCCCCTTTCGACCGATCCTGATAAGATAGTGCCTTCCAGTCATAGTCTTTCTTGAAAGGGATATCCGTGCGAACAGAGTTCAGTGCCCGCTGACATAGGCTGGTGGAGTCACGTTACGACGAACCGTGCATGGACACAGATTCACCTTATGTCTGTGACAATCTAATTACTGACACAGTAGACGAGTGAAGAAAAATGTGACAGATCGCAACAGACGTCCACCCACAGAAGGGAATCAGGTATCTTCAGCGCAGTGTAGTATTGTTCAGAGGAAAATTACAGGGGTCGAGAGGAAGTTATATATTACATGTTATGCTGGAAAATGTAGTAGTAATGGAGAATATAGTAGTAATAGTTGTAGTAAAATATCGTAGTGTGTAAAAGAGCTGGCCTAGTTTCGACATATGTTTTGTCCCAGTTAATAATAATAATAATAATAATAATAATAATAATAATAATAATAAAATTATATTTGAAAATTCGTATTGGTTCGTAACGTACAAATGAGAACATTACATTTTCCAACAAACCTCTATTCCTTGTTTGTGTCCTTACAATAGGTGACAACGCTTCGCTAACAAAACTGTTTGTGGCAGGGCGGGGCGATGACCGGGATAAAGGGTCAGCAAAGTGGTAACTGCCTGCTGGTCAGTGGCTACCTGCAGACGCATTGCGACGCCAGTCGGTGCGGGAGGAGGGGTGGTTCAGGGGAAGGGGCGAGGGGCGGCGAGGGGGCGGTGCCGCGGTGGACAGTTGGTGACGGACTGCAGGCGCTGAGGGATGCAAGCTCGAGGCGAAGTCGGACGTAGGTTTGATTCTTGTCAGCACACGGGCACAAGGTAAGGCAGTTGTAGAATGCTCTTCTATGTAGGCAAATTATCTCAGCGTTTATTTTAGAGCTGTATTGCGAATAATCATTACATTTCACCGTTGCTTCTGCTTCAACAATCTTGCGTTAAACGAGACCGCGGTTTTTGTCAGAAAGACTTGCAGACTTTACTAATCTTTTTGTTTTCGGTGGCGGGGGTGGGAGAAAGTGCGTTTCTTTAGGTGGTCATGAAATCTTAGTTGATCGTTATTCATTGGCAACAGTCCCTCATTAATTTTAAAATCCATTATCGCTCTTCAATGTTAATAATGTAGGTAATATTAGAGAAATGAAAAAAACAAAATTTGTCTATGGTATTGAAGAACGAATTGTGTTATCAGTTACTCTCTTTATAGCGCGTGCTTTCAGAGAAGAAAGTTTACTAGAAAGAACCTTGCGTTGCAATTGAGTAAGAAAATTCTGACGGCGGTTTCTGTTTGTACTACAGCAGACACGGAACATTCTTCATCTACAGCCAGAAATGAGAGCCGTGTTTATTTACGATCCTATCTTTTGAAACGCGCAGCGAGGTTTAGTCGAGTGTTGTCAAGGCCATTTTATATTTGAAAAAAAACAACAATATTATTAATTAAAAAAACATTCACCATCCAAGAGCAGAGCCGTGTTTTTCACCTCCCGAACGCAGTCCATGCGTCACCGGCATCAAAAGTGTGCTCGCTCGCCCAGCGTGGCCCGAGCGCAGGTCAGGCGACGGCAGCGCCGGCGGCGGCCCGCGAGGGAAGCTGCGACCTCCCCATTGACGCCATCGACGTCCGTGCGGGCCGGCGCGTAATTTATTCTTTCAATTTGCCTGACTGATCGGTTACACGCTGTCCGGGGCTCGTTGCCCATGCAAATGCATGCGCCGGCGGTTGCGGCCGCGGGCGGCCCGGCGCAGCCCGCGCGCAGCCTGCGCGCTGCCTCTCACTATGATTCATGGGGACTTTGTTCATTAGCCGCGCGTGTATCTAATTAAAACCGCTGCCCGTCGCCGCAGGCCGCGCGCTGCGCGCGTCCCGTCAGGTAAATGTTTATGCAAATGCTGCGTCCCGCCGCGTCGCTTCGCGTCTGCTGCCCGACGCCCGCCGTCGCGACGGCGCTCCCCGACTCCCCGGGTTGTGAACAGCAACCCCATTGATGTTTGTTGGCGCTGTGAATTGTGTGTGTCCACATTGTTTTCCGAAGAATTTTCATTAGGAGAATTGCTTGTTGTAAAATTTGCTTTTACATTGTGTTTATGGCAGCGCCACGGGAGAATGAGTTTTCAGCTTTCCTTACGGTCTACGTGAATACGAAAGGAAAATAGTCTCGCAGAAACAATGTTTTTTTGGAATTTTGTGGTGGGTGACAGGTCTTCGCACAGTTGTTTGATCATAACATCACAACTTTTGTGTTAATATCTTAAACCTAAAGACGTGTACTCTTTAGTTAACAATGCAACATTTATCGTCGCTATGGGGAATGCATATTCAAAAGTCAGAATTATAAATTTTGTTTGCTGTACACTTCATTGATTCATTTGTATTAATAACACTACATCGTTAATGGTAGGTGAATTTATACTCAAAAGACTGGCCACTTGTCAATTATTTCTACTTGCTCTTTTTTATTTTTTATTTTACATAGATAATAATATTAACAGGCTATCTAAATAGCTTAGTACAATTTACCATTTTTTTTAATTTGACAAATTTGTCATCACGGTGTAGTGTTATTCACATGATTAGATCAGTGAAATATCAGTGATTTAAGTGAGGAAGATGGAACATATAGCGTGTGTATTGACACATCTGCAGACCTAGAGAACGGTATACCCAGTTTGACTTCTGGTCGAGGCAATAACTTCGGCTCCACCGTCGTCGTCTGGCTTGGCCGGTTTTCCTCTCACGTACACTCCAGTCAGCCTTGACCGACCAGTCGCAACGTGACGTCACGTGTAATGACGTCACAGCACGCCTCGCCCCTCGCCATATCCCGCATACCTTCTTCCTATTTTTTGTTCTATTCCACTCTACATTGCAGAGTGACTTGTAATTAGAATTGCAATTATAATACACATATTTAATTTATTCAATAATTATTTATTAATTAAAATTAGTTTAATGAAACAATATTATGATGTGTATACTCTACAAACAGACGTTCTACTGTTTTTAAGATATTCTGCAGTGTCATTGTGTAGAAATTTTAAGTAAAATTATGTAATGCAGTTAAGTTGAATATGAATTTTCAGAGAAATTTAATTTTCTAGAATTCAATGGACGTCTTCAGTTGTTCAACTGGTCAAAATCATGTGATGAATAATTTTAATAATTGCTAAAAAATAATAAATATAAATAATAATAATAATAATGATGATAATAATAATAATAATGATAATAATAATAATAATAATAATAATAATAATAATAATAATAATAATAATAATAATAATAATTTTGATTACACTAATACTTTTCTCAATCTCTAACGTTTGTAATGTGTACATTATGGAATACATTTTCACAACCTCAACTATACCAAACATACCACACAGTATCCGAGTTGTACCCAATTTAGTTTGTTAATGAAATTTTTACCCACTTTTCTGGATTATGTAATCATAATCATAAATTGAAAAGGGTGTGTTTGGTGTTACAACTAGCCCGTGCAATACAAAACTATCATTAAAAATCCAAAATATAAATCGTCATTTGTTATTTGATACTTTGATAGGAATGCTAAATCTCAATTTCTCTTTAATACGCCCCCTAACACACGTCAGTGGTGTCATTAGATGAAGAATATAATGTAAAATTTAAGCTTGCATGAAAAAGATTTAAGTTGTAACCTCTCTAACATGCAATCTGTGGGGATATACATTTTCGTTTCTTTACACAAAAATGTTTCGGTTTTGATTTGAAATTAAATTCACATCTTAATTGATATGACCTTAAATTTTAAAATAATTTTAATTATGTTATATTTAATTTAGGATTAAAAATAAAAAAAGTAGTTTTCATAATATATTCGGTGTTCGAAGAGCCAATAATCATATTAATCCAATGATGTTAAAATAAATGTTGCTGCAAAACTGACTGAAGAAATGTTGATAAATTGATCATCCAAAAAGGAAATACTTTATCCACAACTTAATACTAATTAGGAGGGAAAAAATTGCGGAAAATTATAGAATCTCCCAGTATAAAAAAACAGTCTTGATCCATTTTGATAAATAAACCGTTTGCTTAAATATAATAATACAGGTAACTAACAAATCAAAACTTTTAAGTATCTTCATTGTGAAAAAAATTATACAGCTGAGTACAAGAAATAAATTTTAATTTTTATATCTGTAAATAAATGGTATGTCAGATAACATTAATTAAAGAATTTATTAAAAATTCAATGATAAAAAGTGAAGGGATGAGAGATGCGGAAAAACATAAAAATTAAGTGCAGACGGAACGTGAATTAATGTATAATCTTTGAAAGGGAGAAGGAGAAGAGAAAGAAGTATAAGAACAACAATAAATATACATAATAGTGTATCAAAGGGAATCACTAAATTAGTGTTAAAAATTTTGATTTCATTAATTATTCACATATGAATTTTAAGAAATAAATATTTTATAGCAATTAACTCACAAAAATTCTCATATATAAATTTCAGAATTTGATGACTACTTGAAAGCAACTCAAACATAAAATATTCTTTTAAGCTTTACCGAAGACGCTCTTTAATATTAATTATATATTATCAATTTATTAATATTTTCGAAGGAATTGCATGCCAAACTAAAAGGTTTTCCTGAAAATGCTTGGAGGCAGTGTCGTTTTATCCGATTATAACGTTTCGGGACCAGGAAATAACAGAAAAAGTGGCGTTTTGGAGTGGTCTGACGAGCGCTCGCAGACGCTGCAGAAAGAGCTGGTGGCGGCGGCGGCGGTGCCGATGGCCGCTGATCGCGCGCAGTAATTTATGTGCGGCACTTGTTGCTGCTGCCGCCGCCCGCGCCGTCCGCTGCAGCTCTCGGCCGCTGCAGCTGCCCCGCGAAGTCTGAGCGCGTCCGCCGCCTCTGTGAACAAAGTACGCATTGGTGGTTGTACATTGCGATTTCATGTTTCCATATCTTTTCTGGAACGTTAAAATAATGAGAAAGGGGAACATGGTTCTTGGATTTTCTTGAATTTTTTAATAATATCTATGAGTTGGAGCAATAATATATAAGTATCGATTTCAGAATGTCAGCAATTAAATGATAAAATGTCACATGGAAGTAATCTTGCCACTATTAAGTAAACAAATAGGAATGGGAATTTAGGCCTAAATGTACCAGATCATCTCTCTCTACATTAACTACATATATAAGATATACTAAATTGTAGATGTTATGCGTTAGGTCACTTTTACTTTAGGTTACTGTCAGATAAACCATGAAGAAGTTTTGGAATTAAAAATGCATGTAACTATTTTCAATGGCTATAAACTACACATCATATGTATCATTATTGGAAGAATATTCAAAGGCTCTGAGCAATGAAAAATATAATAAAATGAACTATTACTTCTGTAGTTGTTTTATGCGAAGAAATCAGCGAACAAATTCATTTATCAACGTCCTCGGTGGTGTTTGGCACATAAAGTATCGCATCTAGGGCTTCGTGTGTAAACAAGCCGTGAGTGCTATTCTCTGCGCGGCATTAACGGCTGTACTAGCTTTTTGCATTATTTCCACCGCAACTACCGTTGCGGTCTTGTTTTGCGGGTGTTTCCGCGAGAGGGAAGGAGAGGTCGTGGCGTGGCGCCCGG